AAGTTCATCTTATGTTTTAGAACTCGAATCTACGCTCTTAAGCCTTAAAATCTCATTTTTACTCTCCTAGATTTGCGTGCGCAGTCCGGACAGGTTTCCGGAAAGATGTTATGTTAAAAACTAATGAAAATAAATTTTTTTGCCTTAAAAGTTGATTTTAGTTGACTTCGGTCAACATTTTTGGTAAACATGCCCGGATCCATATTTTGACGGTCCCCGTAGGTCCGTATCGAATTATGGGATATGGGCGTATGCCTGGAATCTAATTCGGAGGTCCCTAGCTCAAGTTATGAATTTTTGATGAAAATTAAAAGTTTTTTAAGAATTGATTGATATTTGGCATTGTTAGTATCGGGTCCGTATTTTGGTTCTGGAGCCCGGTACATGTTCATTATGATATTTAAGACTTGTCTGTGAAATTTGGTGAGAAACGGAGTTGAGATGATGTGATTCGGACGTCCAGTTGAGAAGATATGGATTTTAAAGTGTTCTTGAGAATTTTATTTGATTTGGTGCTAAATTCGTAGTTCTAGGTTTTATTTTGGCGATTTGATCGCGCGAGCAAGTTCGTATGATATTTTTAGACTTGTGTGCATGTTTGGTTTGGAGCCCTGATGGCTCGGGTGAGTTTCGGATAGGCTACATGGTGATTTGCATTTAGAAAATCTGAGATTTTGCTGCATCAGCTATTCTTATGTGCCCTTCTTCGCGTTCGCGTAGGTAGTGACGCGAACGCGAAAGGTAAAATGGGGTAGGGGAAATTACTTCTTCGCGAACGCGAATCGTTGAGGGTGGTCTCACGCGAACGCGATAGTTCAACTGACCTGGGGAAGGGGGGTCATGTTCTTCTACGCGAACGCTATAGTTCAACTGACCCGGGGAGGAGGGGTCATGTTCTTCTACGCGAACGCGTCCACAGGGTCGCGAATGCGAAGGCTTGGGGGAGCTGCCTTATGCGAACGCGTAGAAAGACTCGCGAACGCGAAGGCCTTAGGCCGCTGTGCATCGCGATCGCGACAGGCTTTTCGCGAACGCGATGAAGGCCTATCCAGTGACTTAAAACAGACTCCAAACACGAGTTTGAGCCATTTCTTCAACATTTTTAAAGAATCAAACGGGTAGAGGCGATTTCCAAGAGTCATTTTCTTCCCCAAATTGTTGGTAAGTGATTCTAAACCATTTTCTTTCAATTACCCATTACATTTCTTGAATTTTCAACCTAAAATCTAGAGTTTTCATGGTAGAATTAGGGGTTAGGGTAAAAACTAGGGATTTCGGAAATTTGGGGATTTAGACCACAATTTGAGGTCGGATTCCACAACCAATTATATATTGGGGCTCGGGAGTGAATGGGTGAATGGATTTTGGTCCGAACCTCGGGTTTTGACCAAGCTGGCCCGGAGTCGATTTTTGACTTTTTGGAGGAAAATTTAGAAAATCTAGATTTATGCAATGTAATTGATTCCTTTAGCAATATTTGATACTATTGAGTCATTTTTGAATAGATACGAGTGGGTTGGAGGTGAATTCCAAAGGAAAAGCTGTAATTGAGAATTAAGTGGCATTCAGAGCAGGTTAGGATTCTTATTTATTTCTTTATTTATTTCTTTATTTATTTCTTTATTTATATTTTGATATTACCTACAAGAGAATAATAATATTAGTATTAAGGATTCAATAACAACTCTTTTATAAAATAAAGACTATAAAAGAAATAAACCGAAGACAAGTATAGAGAAAAATTGATATTTTATTCAACTTTCAAAGTTATGTTCATAATGAACTGAAAACTCCTCTATTTATAAAAGAAAGGAAGCAGTTGCGAGTCTTTTCAGGAAGCAGCTGCAAAGCTTTTTTTTAGCTGCTTGTAAGTTGTCTGCATGAGTTGCTTGCAACTTGCCTGTTTAATAAGAAGCTGTTGCAAATCATTTCATTGAATTGTTTGCAACCTGCCTGCATCAGCTGCTTGTAGATAAATTTCAACAGAGTACTAAATGGATAATCTTCTTCCGGAAGATTATCTATAACAGAGTAATGAATGGACATCCACAATATAATATTTTCATAACACTCGCCCTTGGATATTCATTAAAAGATAATGTGTCTCGTTAAAACCTTACTAGAAAAACCCAGTAGTAAAAAACCTAGTGAAGGAAAAATAGTACACATATTTAGTAATTACGCATTTCTAGCTGCCTCATTAAAAATCTTATAAGGAAAACCCTCTGGGAAAAACCTTAGTAAGGAAAAAAGAGTGCATCGTGTATTTTACTCCCCTTTGTGAAAACCTTGTTTGAAATATTTGAGTCTTCGCATTCCAATCTTGTATACCATCTTCTCAAAAGTTGAAGTTGGCAAAAATTTAGTGAATAAATCTACCGGATTGTCACTTGAACGGATTTGTTGCACATTAATGTCACTATTTTTCTGAAGATTATGTGTGTAGAATAATTTTGGTAAAATGTGCTTCGTTCTATCTCCTTTTATATAATGTCTTCGTATAAAATTGTGAATCTTTTATCACACTTCAAACTATATTTTTCTTGAATAAAATGAATCACTGATCTCAAGCATATGCATTCTCTGCTTGCTTCATGAATAGCTATTATCTTAGCATAATTTGAAGAAGTAACAACAATTGACTACTTTGTGGAGTACCATGATATGATAGTACCTCCACATGTAAACACATACCCGGCTTGAGATCGAGCTTTATGGGAATTAGCTAAATAACCTGCATCTGCATAACCAACAAGATTTGCACTACCTTTGTTAGCATAAAACAAACTCATATCAAGAGTTCTCTTTAAATATCGCAAAATATACTTAATCTCATTCCAATGTCTCCGAGTAGGAGAAGAGCTATATCTTGCTAGTAAATTAACAGAAAATGTTATGACGGGCCTTGTAGCATTAGCAAGATACATAAGTGCACCAATTGCACTGAGATAGGATGTTTCAGGACAAAGGAGTTCCTCATCCTCTTCTAGAGGTCGGAACGGGTCCTTATTCACTTCAAGTGACCGAACAACCATTGGTGTACTCAATGGGTGCGCTTTGTCCATGTAAAAGCGTTTTAAAACCCTTTCTGTATAGGCATATTGATGCATAAAGATCCCGTTTGCTAAATGTTCAATTTGCAGTCCAAGAAAAAGTTTTATTTTTCCAAGATCTTTCATCTCAAATTTTTTCTTAAGATATTCAATTGCCTTTTGAAGCTCTTCTGGAACTCCAAGATTTATGTCATCAACATAAACAACAAGTATAACAAATTCTGATGTCATTTTCTTTATAAAAATACATGGGCAAATAACATCATTTATGTAACCCTCTTTCAGTAAATATTCACTAAGGCGATTATACCACATGCACCCACATTGCTTTAAACCGTACAAAGATCTTTGTAATCTGATTAAATACATTTCCCAAGATTTTGAATTTGCTTCAAACATTTTAAATCCTTCAAGGATCTTCATATAGAATTAATCAAATGAGTCATATAGGTTATGACTTACATTTAAATGGCATGACATCTTCAGGTGTCTGGACTACAGGTCTGATCCTCATAATCTTTTACAATATTATACACTATATTGTATCAAATATATCATCGACGATCATTTCGTATCAGTTCGCAAGCGACATAACTTGTTAAGATCTCATCACTTTCTTTATTTTCAGATACCTGAACTTATTCTAGAGTTTCATGAAATGTTATGTCGTGGGTGTCACACCCCTTTTTCACCTCACTAAACCTCTTTGAAAAAAATAGTGATTTTAAAGCTCAAAAGGGTTTTTCAAATTTGAAAGTGACAAAGTATTGTTTCAAAGGGATTTTCTCAGAGTCGCCACTTGGCATATAATCTCGGTGTGCCAAGTCACCATTTAAGAACACATTTTTCCTTAAAAACATATTTGACTCTAAACTAGTTTGCATCAGAGATTCTAGATAAGGGGGTTCATTTGACTAGGGGAGAAGATGTTAGGCACTCCCCAAGTCCCGTAACTAGTACGGTTGCATACTTAATCTAGTTGGTTTTAAAGAATACTCAAATTGATGCAAAAAGCGCACAAAAGAGAAAACAAACACACAAGAGGCTCGAGGTTGTCCCCACCTAAATAAAATAAAAAATAAAAAGAAAAGTATACTAAAATTCTATAATAGCACATACCAAAGCTTCCTCGATGATGTCCTCATTTACTTCTATTTACATATACTACGGGCCATTCCCCTGAATAAAATAATATTTACAAATTTTTTGGGGAATTTCCCTGAATATAAACTAAAGGGAACAACCTCTCACCTCGAATAAAAATAAAATAAAAGACCTAAGGTTTGCCTACCCAAGTGGCCGGCCTAAACATACTCCTACCGTCTTAAAAATTCTATCAACAAACAAGATCTAAACCATATGCAACTCAAAACGTCACATACCAAACAAAAATCCAGTTGAAATTGTCACTGAACCCAATATCACTTTAGCCTAATACACTTTCATTTTTACCTACAAACCCCACGATCCAATTAGTTTAATAATCCAAGCCAGTTTATCAAACCTTACTTTCTTTTTTAATTCTTAATTTCCTAATTTTTACTATCTACTCATGTAATTTGAACTATAACAGAAGAGTATCAAGAGTTGAGTACAATCTGCAAATAACTCATTTAACATTCATTTCAATTGATCTCAAGCAAACAAAAATTAAAAAAAATCATCAATTCATTTAAATAAATCATGTAGTCACACAAAATATATATTTAAAAAATAAAAGAAAGAAGGTAAGAAATGGACCTTAAAGGGTTTTCGCCAAACAGAAATTCGGATCTAATTTTAAACAGCGATTGGAACCTCAACGAACAACCTCGATCTCGACCGCATCTCAACCACGGCGGATGAAAATGAATTCGAAAATGAAGAGCAACTTCTTTATTGTGTCCCTGTATTCGACCCCTTTGAAGCAGAACTTTGTACTGTCCCAAATGAAGTGGTAGATGAAACTACTACAATTAATGATAGAGACATTTTGTTGAACAGTGATGCTGCATGTGATGATTTAGGGATTCCTGAGATTCTTTCTTCTGAAATTGAACTTGCTGAATTCGCAAAGAAGAAAACTGAGCCACAGCAGAATCAAGACTTGGTGCTAGCTTTGGCTGCTCATTAGATTCTTGAAAAACAAAATTTATGTGTTTGCCATTTTCTGTTTGAATGGAAATTGAGTTCTGTTTGCTAGACAACGGAGAGTGGACCACCTTAGACCATGTGCAAATGGGGTTGTGTACAGGTAATTTGCATCTGAATATTTTACTAAGGTTTTGTCTTTGTGAGTTTGTTAGGCGAAGAGTTTAAAGTCGTAGAAGAAGATGAGCAGCGATGGGTGCGGAGTTGATGGTGTGCGGCCCGAGGGGGGTTCTGCTAGGTTGGAGGAAAAGTTGGGTAGGGTTTCATAATTGAGTATTTTATATGAAAGTGCAAAAGGGACGATGGCCATTGGATTAGAGATGAATAAATGACTAAGATTAAATCTTGTATTTTAAGTGAAGAGTGAGCTAATGGGTTGGGAAGAATGGACTTTTGTTTTGGTGAGTCACTAAAATCTAAAAATAAGCTTCCAATTGGCCCAAATTCAATTCTTTCTCAATGAACAAAAATAAAAATAAAAATACTACCAAAATATACTAATTAATCTTAGTTAATAAGAATAAACTACTAAAGTGAACTATATATATAAATAAAAATATTTTTGGTATTTGTTTTAAATGTTATAAAAAGGTAGAGAAAACTATGTTAAAGTAATGGTAAAAATTAAAATATTATCATTATAAAATACTAATAAGCCTAAATAAATAAAAAAGAATAAAATAAAAAGATATATAATAAGAGAAGAAATATTATAAAATTATTTTTTGCGTTTTTAAATTTATGTTTTAAAATTAAAATTAAAAGTTGATAGAAATTCTATTAAAATAAAGATAAGTAAATATTTTTAAAATAATGCTTTCAAAAGTTGCGCAGGTAAAAAAATTACGTGCTTACAGTGGACTCTTCCAGAGCTTATTTCCTCCTTATTATGATCATTTTGATCATTTGCTCCTATTTTTTTCAAGGATTGTTGCCTTTGGAACCGATTGGTCTACCATGCTTCATGCGTACAGTAAACTCTATCCTTCAGGGACTTTAATTTGAATAGGAGCATTTGCAGTTGAAATATGATATTTAATCTTGGATCAATAAATGCTTCTGGCATTTGACTTGAATTATCTTCTAAGCGATGGTCATATTAATGATAATTCGATTCATATATCATATTTTCCAGCTATTTTATTCCATCCCCCAACTGTTAGAAAAACTAACTCATATTCTCAATCTTCTTGGGAAACATATCTTTGTGCATTGTGATAGAGAAATTAATCATATACCACACATCAAAAGTTATTAGATAGTAAAAATATTTAGTTTTTGATCCTAAACCAATTGTGAGGGGAGGACTTAACATATTTTGTTGGTCTGATGCATACAAGTAATGTTGTATGCAATTTAGAAAATTTTAGACCAACACATGAAGCTTTGTTCTCATAAGAAATTGTTTAGCCATTAATAGGAGGTATTTAATGCTAAACTAGCTTGGATATAAACCAACATCATCAAAATGAACTATCTTGATTTATAATCTGGAAATTATGCTCTTAATTGAGAAAGGCAATTTCAAATGTCAAACTGCAGGTTGACAATAAACACACATGTAACCATCTCATATATACATCTATAAGTGGTTTACATGATAGGTGAATGGACTCATATTCACCTTTTATATATTCCAGAATTCAAGGGTTTTAGTCCAACTTTAGCTAGTATAATCAATTTATTATGAGAACAAGCAACACAAGAGAATTCTTGAAGAATCTTCTAGTTCTTTAGTATATGCTTATCTAAATTTTCAAATAGCTCATTTAAAAATGACAAATGAAAACTTCAAGTTTATCATGATACGTGCTATCTCTAAGTAAACTTCTGGTTTACTATGGCATAAATTTTTGCATCAGTAAACTTCTAATTTACTGTGGCTACTTTTGTATCAGTAAATTTATGGTTTACAATAGCTACTTTTGCCTCAGTAAAACTTCTGGTTTACTGTGACCACTTTTGCATTAGTAAACTTTTGGTTTACTGTGATACATGATATAGTATAAATTGAAGAATAAGGCGGGTCACTTCTCACATACATATTATTTTACCCTCTATGATTGTGGAAACATGAAAATTTTCAATCTTTCAGTCATTTGTAGTCTCAATATGATAGCCATTTGTATTAGTAAACTTCAGCTTTACTACAATATATGTTTTGACCATAATCATATAATATGAATGACATATTATTTGTATATAAGCTCTTCGAGAGTCTTCATTTATTATCCACAATCTAATATTTATTAGACACTACTTGTGTCATGTGTCTTCTAGACAAACAGTTAGCTCTTCAGGAGTTGTTGATACATTTTGTACTATTAAATATTGCTCGGACACTTATGGTATCATGAGAGAAAATCATGATCAAATAAACTATATAAAATAATTGTTTAAGCACAAGAAAATACCTATTCATAATATTTTCCTACTTCATGAGGAAATTTCAATTGTGTTACTTCTCTAGGAGAAAATTTAAAATACGAAATATTGAGTATATATTCTCTCAATCATATTAATTCTTCTGGAGGTGAATTATAATATATTTACATCAAGAGTATGTTCATATTTACGGCTTTATTAATATTATCACATTCACTTCAGGGAATGGATTAATATTTATCAAAAGTTCTCTTCCTTCAGGAGATAGAACATAATTATCTTAACGTGCATAATCATATCAAATTGTGATTCTTCGAACCTCTTTTAAGATATTTGCTACTTCAAAAGCAAATCGAGGTATGCATATAATATAGAGAATTTTCTCTAACTTATCTTCATTGTAACCATAACAAGCCCAAATTATCACTTCTGGTGGTCATAGACATATAACACTTTTAGTGATTATCAAAATTTAGTTACAATGAGATATATGAAACATAGCCGCTTCTGGTGACCGTACTCTGCTGGAGTTCAACTGAACCATGAAGTTAAGTCATAACGAGACTTAGAAAATATTACCATTGTTGGTAATTATATATTTGTCATAAACTCTGCTGAAGTTTAGATAGATCTGACATTGTTATTCACCTTTTAATCCTTCACTAAACGATCAAGGAGGAAAATAAGTACAAAAATAGCAATTGTATAAGTATACATAGTCCCCAACTATTTGCCATATAAACTACATGTGTAGTCTCGCGATCATATAATAGCTTAAGTAAAATCATTTTTTCATTCCAATTTTGCGAGATCGCATTCAAGTAAAATGACATTTGCATCATTAGTTGGCTAGAAAGACGTGATGAACATGCATGATAAACATATATTTAGAAAAAGAAACTTCGTACCTTGGAGTATTTGCTCGAGATGACAGAGTCTCGTGCTGATAATGCGTTATAAAATAAAGACTATAAAAGAAATAAACTGAAGACAAGTATAAAGGGAGATTGATATTTTATTCAACTTTCAAAGTTATGTTCATAATGAACTGAAAACTCCTTTATTTATAGAAGAAAGGAAGTAGTTGCGGGGCTTTTCAGGAAGCAGCTACAAGGCTTTTTTTAGCTGCTTGTAAGTTGTCTGCATGAACTGCTTGCAACCTGCCTGTTTAATAAGAAGTTGTTGCAAATCATTTCACTGAGTTGCTTGCAACCTGCTTGCATCAGTTGCTTGTAAATAAATTTCAACAGAGTACTAAATGGATAATCTTCTTCAGGAAGATTATCTATAGCGGAGTAATGAATGGATATCCACAATATAATATTTTCATAACAAACACATATTATGCATAGTATTTTTATCTTATCACTTATATAGCTCCGAATTTCGATAATCGGCTCTAATAACTCTCTAACACCTCCAGCCAATGTCAAATGATCTGAAACTAGTTAAGGAACGTGCAAACCAATCAAAAATATAGTCAACGACTCATAATTTAACAATTAAAAATAATTTCCCACTCCACATGAAAAGTCAACAAGATCAACCTCCGAAATCCGAAAACTTTTGAAGATAATTATTACCTATAGCACCACGAACTCAAATATATGATTTATTCCTAGTTTCATGTTCAATTTCGTGGTCAAACTCAAAAATATTATTTTTAGGTTTTCTTTCAAAATTTCATAATTTCACTATTTTTTATGTTTAAATCCATATATAATCCATGTATTTGACTCACAACAAGTAGGAATAACTTACCTTATGATATATGGCGAAAATGGTCCTCAAGAATCACCCTACACGTGCTCCAAAAACTTAACAATGAAGAAATGAACTCAAAATTCCGATATTGGATGTTTAATACACCTTCCACGCCTTCTTCTTTGTGATCGCGGTTAACAAACATTCCAGCATAATTTTCTTCATCGTGATCACGACCAAGAAGCACCGTGATCGCGGTGTACAAATTTTGTTTTCCTCTTCACATACACCCTTCAATATAATGGCCATAACATTTTATACAAAATTATAAATGACAAACGGTTTGATTTTCTGAAAACTATATTCAAAGGGATACAACTTTTATTTTTGGATCATCCCTAAATTTCTTATAAATTGCAAGATATAAGCTCCTGAAGTCAGACCACTGACAGTAGAAACTCCTTCTACGCGATCGCGGTCATACCTTCTGCGATCGCGATTCACAAGGCCTGCAATGCACTTTGCTCTTCACCATCGCGGCCCAGACCTTCGTGATCGCAATTCACACCCCTGACATCAGTTATCAACAGTTCAAAATGGCCCAAAAGTGGTACGAAATCACCCCAAAACTCACCCGAGGTCTGAGGAACTCCGTCCAATCATTCTAACAAATTTATATACTATGTAAACTTGTCCAAAGGCTTGAAACACGAATTACAACATCAAAACCAATAATTAAAGATCAAACTCAATTTCTTAAACTCTCTTAGCTTTCAAACCTTCATTTTTTATCGAGCGCATCTGAATCCTACTTAGACATTCCGGATCACGACTAAACTTCACATACAAGTTTCAATCAACTAAATGAACCAATCCAAGGCCCCGGAACACCGCCCGAAATACGATTACACCAAAGTCCACTCTAAGTCAAACTTAGCCAATTCAAAACCTTCCAAAACACAAACTTCCGATAATAAGCATTGAATCACTCCCGGACCATCAGATACTCAACCAGAACATATGTCCAAATCCGAAATCACCTTACGAACCTATAGGAATCTTTAGATGCCAATTTCGAGATTATTTACTTAAAGGTCAAATCTTGTCAACTCTTCCAACTTATATCTTTCGAATTAAGAATAATTCTTCCAAATCAATTTCGAATTTCTCGAAAATCAAAACCGACTACACGTGCAAGTCATAATATATAAAGCGAAGCTACTCAAGGTCTCAAACCGCCAAACGGCATGCTAGAGTTCAAAATGACAAGTCGTGTCGTTACAACATTATTTTTTATTAAAACTAAATATTCTTCCATTATTGAAGAAAAAATGAATCAAATCAATATAAGTAAATTTATCTCATGTTTATTTCATTATGGTAATTAGCATGCCTAGTTTAAATATGTTTTTTGCATGTATTTGTTCTCCATTGAAAACGAAATTCTAATTACTCTTAGACACACATTTAAATAAAATATCTATTTTTCAGTTCAATTGAAGCAACATTATAATTACATGAAAGTCCCAAGCCCCAACTACAAGGTTGCATGCTTGATTAATTATTAGATTTAAAAATTCCGCCCTACAATTTGCACTCTTTTATTACAAGTTAGTTTTAATTCTTAGAAGTTTGTGTCACAAACTCGGCGGCTCATTTGATATGTTGAACTTTTTATCACGTTAATTTATACATCATACTAACTCTTTTAAGTGTGTGTAAGAATAAATATTTTATCACCGAGTACTCAAAATTTCCAATTTTAATGGACTGTTAGAATCCAAAATTTTATTATGCTTCCCATGTTAATTGGTTTGGTGACGCCCCCTATCTTTTTCATGATTTCTTCTCCCTTAATTAAATTAATACTCCTTGTATATTGTAAATAGTTAATAGTATCATCTTATTTACCATTTCTAAAACTTTTAAAAAAATTATATGCTACTTTTTATGAACCAATAACTAAATTATTATATACCTTATTATAAATTATAACTTAAATTTATAAAAATTATAAACAAAATGGTCCTTTTATAAATTTATCACAAAATTTATGATTTTTATTATAATATAATGTGTATTAAGTATATATTTAAGTTTGTTATAAAGTTTGCCCTTGCTTGTAATAATTATCAAATTTTGTATTACCCGCATTGTATTATATATTTATAAGGTTCTCACCATTTTTATTCTCGATTGCGTAATAGATTTTTGAAATTTAATTGCTATTAATAAAAAAAATTATAAGAGCAAATTAATTTTTTTATTTTTATTCTGCTCATCCTTTTCATTATTAAATGCTTGATTACCATTTTTTATTTTGAAAATAGGATTTAGTTATTATATAGGTAAGTTTATAGCATAGATATCAGAAGGAAAATATCGTGATATAGTATAAGCATTTAAAAAAACGTAAAAGAGATAAATGCAGATAGTATAGAGGTTGAAATAGGCATTTTAAAAAAGTTAATATAGAAATGAGGGAGAGAATAACTATCGTTCCAAGTAGAGGGGTACTTTGATTTTTAGCAAAATTTGGGGGTGTAAATAATTTCCGTCCACTCATTTTTTGTTATTCATTAATTTCTTGAAAAATACTTAGCAAATTTAGAAGGTCGTGTCAACTAATAAATAAGCATAAGTGTTTATGTGAAGAAATTGGTAAATAGCCATATTTTAATTAAGTTTTAGCCAACACTTTCAAAACTATTCAATATTTAGCCACCTTTTAATGCGAAAATAATTTTTTGACAAAAATATACTTAGCTAAAATATGAAAAATCTCTAGAAACTTTTACTAAAGTTATCACCAATTATTCCTGGTGCTTGAAAGGTGAAGTTTGAACTCCAAGAAAAATTCGTCGAGTTTGAAGTGTTGTAGTTCAAACTAAGCGAAATGAAGTCCAAGTCCACGAAGAAAAGAGTGGAGCAATCATCTTCTCTCACAATTTCACTATCAAGGCATCAAAACGAACCTATCGCTATAATTTTCTCACCAAGTTTTATGCTACAGTTCAATTGCACGCCCTTTTAAACTCATATATATGTGAGATGATCTGCATCTCGTGTGCTCATTCAACATGACAAATAAAGCAGAACCAGTTATGATAAAAGGGAAAATGGGACCAAGAAGCAGAATATCTCTGCATTTCAGGCCTGTAACCATCAATGCAGCAGTTAAGAAAGAAGACGAATAGGCGGGCATGTCATCTAGTCAACTAAAATATGACAAGATTTTGTCAAATCCAAGACATTTGCGACATTTCTTGTAATTAAGAACTGCTAGAGCTCTTACCAAATGCCATAGCAGCATCCTTCATTTGCTAAAACAAAAGGAAATAAAAGAGGGAGATACATATTAATAAGAAATAAGCTGTGCATGGTTGAGCAGCTATTTAGCAGAGTATCTACTGATCATTGTTTATTGGATTTCTAATCTAAAACTATATGAAAGTACATTTTGCAATGACTTGTCACTAATACAAGTGTAGAAAGATTAACTGACTTGGCAATAATGTTTCTAAAAAGTAAAATAAACTCAATCTTAGCAGGTAAGAATTGTCTTGTACGGAGCAGGTAGCTAGATTTCAACGAGAGAGGCTGTTAGAGGCTACTCTCTCGTTGAAATCTAGCTACCTGCTCCGTACAAATCTTAGCAGCCTCTATTCATTTGATTGTCCTTTCCTACCTGAATAGAGGCTGTTAGAGCCTAAAGTGATGTTCGCTGCACTGAAAGAGTCTAAAGATCTCATAGTTGATTCAATTCAACTAGCTGCTAAAGTGGCTTCCGAAAGATCTCATAAAAGAGATGTTCGCTTCTTCCTCTTTTATGGCATTTGCTCAGTCAAGCCTGCCATTGACAGAAAGATCAAATTAGTAATACCACTTAACTTCCACAAAACACTTTTTAAGTTTCAGAAAATAAAATGGAAGTTGCTTTAGAAAGATGGTTGCTATAATCATCCTTGATTCAGTTTAGCCTCTGTTCAAGGGGACGATAAACATAAGTAACATGCCTCTATTGTAGTACATAATTAGCTAAACTTCTCATTGGGGAACTCCAAGTTCACATCAACTCACTTATCTTCACTAATAGGAAGCACAATAGTACCTCATCCGGAACGGACCTGTGCACTCTGACCCTGTCACAAAGGAAGTACCTTTTAGTTTCTGCAATCTTCGTCGCACTAGAATTTGCATTAGAGATAGTAGATGAATTGGATGGTGTCATCGCATCTGATGATATATAGTTTATCTAGGCAAATGGCACAATGATCCAGGTGAAGAATGTGATTTCTCATTTACAATGAGCTCTTACACGTCCCGTGAAATTGGAGCATTAACATTTTCAGCACTTATGGACAGTGGAGAGATGTGTTTAGAGTGAGCCATCTCCTCTTCATCTGCCAAAGGCATGAATACTTGGTTGCATCAGAAACATTACTAATATGCCAATCACATTAGTCGGAAACGAAAACATCGTGAAAAATGACCTCTGAACTTTTCTTGACTAGCAGAAATGGACACTGAATCCATGCAAGGTTCAGTTTTGAAAAATTTCACCTTCCAAGTCCGAGGAAATAGTTGAATGATCACTGGTACAAAAGAATTTGCCTGAAATTGTAAGAATTGTCAATTTGCGGCACAGAAGTAATTTATTCAATAGTCTTCCAGCTGCACTAAAATTCCATTCTTGTTAATCTCAAGACAAACATCGATTAGCCTGAAAAGTTCTCTTAACATCAATTTGGCTCAAGAGTGAAGAGGGAAGAAGAAAAATGCTTATATTTTGTTAAAGCCATATAAGCAACCTTGGCTTCTTCTGCCTGTTTCTTGGACTGTGCAGCATCCCCATGAAAGACTTCTCCTTCAATGTCTACAACTTGAAAAGAATATTAGATTCAGACAAGCAAAGTTCTTCATGTTGTGCCAGTTATTTGCAGGAAATTCTTGTAACTGCTAGTATTACTCTGGGCCAAAACGAATAAAGAGAACCAAAAAATAAAATAAAAGATAAGGTCACTTATTCAGACTATAAAATCCATAGGGGTCGTTTGATAGGGTGCATAAGAATAATGATGAATAAGGTGTATTAGTAATGCTGGTATTAATTATGTTGGCATTGGTTATGCTGACATATTTCCTATCCATCGTTTGGTTTGATATATTAAAGCATTGCACAATCTCTAAAAGAATTGTTTGTTTACAAAAATACCCTCATAACGAGTCCATCATTATATCTTTTTAAAAGAAACATATGTTGAGGCAGTGTTGTAAATAGTGACCGCTACGTCGCTAATAGCGAGTAGCGACGCGAGGCTCATACGCATTTTTTTGGTCTGTTGCGATGCGGTTTTAAAAAGCGCCGACGAGGCGAAGTAGCGCCGGCGAGGTAGCGACAGAGGCGTCACTTTTAAAATAAAAAAAAAAGACTTAAATAAAAGTTAGGGTTTTCTCGACTCCGAGGTACCTCTTTGTTCTTCTTTCTTCTTTCTTTCTTCTTTTCTTCTTCTTTCTTTTCTCTTTCTTTTTCCGGCAGTAAGCTTCTGTTTTTCCGGCGTCTTTTCCGGCAGTAAGCTTCTCTTCTTTCTTTTTCCGGCAGTAAGCCTCTGTTTTTCCGGCGTTTTTTCCGGCAGTAAGACTCTCTTCTTTCTTCTTTCTTTTCCTTTTACAGGTATTAAGTCTTCTTTGTTCTTCTTCTTCTTTTCCGGCAGCAACTGATTTCCAGCAGAAATATTCTTTCTTTCTTTTCTTTCACCTTTGTTTTCGCCTCTTCTCTTCTTTCTTCTTCTGTTTCTCTCTTTTGATTTTTTTCTCTCCAGTTTAGTAAACAATTACTTGCATATTAACTTCTCTCTATAATTACAATAACAATTAACTGTTATTTTCTCTCTTTTATTACAATTAATTTCTCTCTATAAACAGTATATTAAAATATTTGATTTCTATCCATTGAGGTTTTGAATTTATATATTTATTAATATGTTGTTGTTATTGAGTTTTTAGTTATTTATATATGCAAATTTAATATTTTATTTTTTTGTATTAATTGGCGCTTCACATCAAAAAGGCGAGCGCTACGCTTCTCGCCTCAGTGGAGCGGACCCTCATCGCTTTTTGTCGCCTCACGCTATTCAAAACACTGTGTTGAGGAATGTTTTATTATGAAAAAAGTTTTAAAAAGATTATTTGATTTGTCTACCAATATTGTAGTATAGAACTGAATATTTATTTATAAAAAAGAAAATATGCTAAGTATTTATTTATCAACTAGGATATAATTTTATTTTTCACTTTCTTGGATTATTAGGCAAAGAAAGTTTGAATTAAAAAAATACAAGGAAAATGAGTTGATTACAAGTGCATTCCAATACGTAGTAGTAGAGTACATATTTATAAATTTACAATGAAGAAATTGGCGGAGTATAGATATAAATAGCGGGAGCAATTTCAGTGTCAAACTTTACATCAAACTTGCATTAATATAATAGCATATTTTAATCAAGCATAAATTTTGAAGGGCAATTTTGTCTTTAACTAAGCTAATGCATGCATTAAAACTCATTGCATTATTAATACCATGGTTTCCTATGCATTAGTTATGCATAGGATAATACCAAATAAGATGTATAACTAATGCTAGCATAACTAATGCATAGGTTTAAAAGTATACCAAACAAGGTATTATTAATACACAAACCTAATCCATGCATTATTTTATCTAATGCATCCTACCAAACGACCCCTGAGAGTAGCGCATGAATGACATCATAGATTGTCAACTTCCGTGCCAATTTGCAATGTGAAAACTGAAAAGACTACCCATTCGATTCATATTAGCTGTCTTTTAAGGTTTTTGCACATCGCCCTTAAGGATGAATTAATGATACACTAAATGGAACAATAAGGATGAATATGGAAAAGAGAAATAAAGGCTTCTTCTGTTTTCTGAGCCAACGGGTTTTACCTTTTGAAAAGCAACTGTGAGCAGTGCCATTAATGCAAGTTGTGCAACAACAGCTTCTGCTTCCTCTGCAATCCTGTATGCTATTCATAGACTTATAATGTGTACACATAAAGAAACTTGCATCATTTCTCATATTAAGAGTGCAATAAAATATGATTTTCAAAATACAGTAGAGTGGCACAACAATCAAATATCAAAACTGATGTACCTCCTCAATAAGCTGGCTTGGAAAGCTCAAGCAATGTTCTAATTTCCATTCTTTCAGCTTCTGCAGTTCCATTAGATGTGATTTCTTTCGCAGAGGTAAAAGAAAAATGCATCACAGTGATAAGTATTGCAGAATAGATCAACTGAAATACATATCACTTCTTATTTCCCGAGTGAAATTGTGGTATCATGTTAAGCAAAGAAGGATCCTTCGCTATAGCATCTATTAGTAACTCTACAGTACTTGCATCAAATAAGAAGTCCCTTCCAGTCATTTTCTTCAAAAGAGTTGTCATTTCACTAGTTTTGCCAAACTTGAGAAATCCTCGCACAATAATATTATAAGTGACATTGTCCGGCAAATGACCATTCTCCTCCATTTTCCTTAGCATATCTTTAGCTTCATCTAACAACCCTTCTTGACAAAATCCAATAATTATTATTGTGTATGTAATCACATTGGGAAACAATCCAATAAAAGAAAGCTTCTCAAAAATAGCATGAGCTTTATCGAACTGGCCATTTTTGCACAACCCATCAATTAGAACATTATAAAGTTCAATATCATTATCTTCTCTCTTTACTTCCAACTCATGAAATAACGACATAGCTTTCTCAACAAGTCCATTATGAAAATAACCACAGAGCAAAATGTTATTAGTGTATAAATCAGGTTTGAGTCCTGTAAATAGCATATCAGAAAGGATTTTTTGCGCAAAGTCAGTTCTTCCACCATCAAATAGACCTTGCAAGATAGTATTGTAGGTAACCATGTTAGGTTCCAATCCATTTAGAGAAATTTCATGAAACAAATACATGGCCTCATCCAGTTTCTTTTTCTTACAGTATCCATTTATTAATATGTTGTAGCTAATAATGTTATGCTTAATGCTCTTATCAATCATGGATTCAAAGAGTCTCCTTGCTTTATCCATTTGACCGCGCAAGCAATATCCATCAATTATCACATTGTAGGTGACCACATTTGGCTCGACACCTTTTCCAATCATGTGTCCCATTACCTCCTCAACATCTTTAACTTTCCCTTCTTTGCATGGTCCATCGGTCACTATGGTCAAGGTTTGCACATTTGGATAAATATTAATATTTACCATTTTAGAGAACAAAGTCCTAACCTTTTCCCACTGACCAAACTTACAGAAACCATCAATCAATGAACTATATGTGACAATGTTTGGAGGAATGCCTTTTTGTTTCATCTCTTCGAAAAGGCTAATTGCAGCATCTAGCATTCTATCTTTGCAAAGGGCATGTATAACAATGTTATAGATGTATGTGTTGGGCTTAGTGCTTCCTTTTTCCATTACCCTAAGCAAATCAAAAGTTTTTTGAGTATGGCCCCTTTTGCTAAGCCCATTCATGACAGTCGAATACATGACTTCGTCAGGCTCACAAGTATTCTCTCTCACCAACTTTTTGAACAAGTTAACTGCATCTTTTATCTTATTTTCTGCAAAGAGTCCCCTCAGTAAGGTGGTAAAGGTGACAATGTTAAATGGAATGCCATTCGTCAAGTAAATGGTTAACACCGAAAATCAGCAGTCAGAACGATGCATTAGGCAATAACTGTTAATTGCTATACTCAAGATGAAATCATTAATTGGGATGCCCAATTTCAGCATTTGTCGAAAAAGGGAAAAAACAGCAGAGTAATGCTTCATATTTACCATAGTCTTTAACAATTTAGAGAAGCTAAAAACAGAAGGAAGAGGCTGCGTACTGACCATTCAATGGAAGAGACTCAGAGCATCATCTAAACACTTGACATTCTCAATATGGCTATGAAATGAAGAATATTATCTGGTCGCCGACGCAGAACGTGAAATAGCAGAAAAAGAGATAAATCTGGGAATAATACCTTTGCAATAGTAACGCAGCAGAGAAATTCTCGTCATCTTCAATCTCTGAAATTTCTGAAACGAATTTGAGGTTTTTACCAATATTGTCCCTTATGTTTGAGGTAGGTTTATTTTGATCCCTTCAATATTGTCCCTTATCTTTGAGCTAGATTTATTTTAATCCCTCCAATATAACTCCGAACATATTTAGTCCCTTAAATATGCTAAAGTGAAGCACCTTTAATCTCACTGACACAATATATTCAAAAACTAACGGTGTTACCCAACTCTGATTCATAAAGCAAATCTTCTGCTCTAAAGCAAAATGTTTCCTCTCATTTTATTAGATAACGTAAATTATCACTTTAATTCCTCATTTTTAGATAATGCCTTCTAAAATTTTGATCTTGAATATATCCCATTCTCTGCCAGTTTTCAATGAGAAAATGACACTGTATAACCGCTGTTAAAA